GTTGCCGGCAGAGCCTTGGATAGTGGGGGAGTCGTGACACGCCAGCAAATGAGAGAATCCGGGGTGCCCGTAAGGACTGCAAAGATGAAACAGGTTACGAGGTAGAAGGGGCGCGGCTGGACGGCCCTAGCATAGGGAAAGACTCAGGTCCTCGAGCCGCATGTGGCTGTCGAGGCCTTGGAATGTTGACCAGTTCGACCTGAGATGCGACGTAAGCGTGAGATACACACCCTGGATTTCGAAGATTTAGAATGCAAACGATCTCATGAATAACTTCGTTAATCATGCTCAATTGATATTTAAATAAAATGTCCTTACAATTTCATCTGTTTCTTTTACTTTCCTAATGTAGCTATGAGAAAATGTTAAATTACCTATGGGGCTCACTTTATTTCTGTTGGACCACACCAGTCTAGACCTGTTTACTAAGCAGCCATCCTTTCTGCCCAACACCTTGCTCATTTCGTGGACAGCTTTTGAGCCCCTGCTAATGCAGCGACAGGGTACAAAGGCACGTGAGACCCCATGGAGGAACTCAAGCAGCTGTCTTACAGGGTGGTTGAGGATGAAGTGAGTTGATGTCATGTAACATAAAGAAGCTAAAGAGGAAGGCGACTGACTGGCCAGGTGCCAAATCTTCTCCCCCACGCTTAGAAATTTGAGCTTACGTGCTGACTGAAGACGTTGGGAAGCCATTGAAGGAATTTCAGCTGGGAGTGGCAGGATCCCTCTGCCCAGAGTGTTTCCCCCTGCTCTAGATGTCTCCCTTCTGTCTTTCATCTCAGCTTAAATGTCTTCTCTTCAACAAGACCTCTCTGGACCTCCCAATGAAAGTAGTTTGCCAGTCTCTAAATGGAACTTGCCACTGATAGATTTCCTTCTTCTTTATTTATGTATTTGTAGAATTCAAGCAGTAAAGGCAGGAACCTGGTTTGTCTTGTTCATTGCTCTGTCCCCAAATTTAAAAAACAGTGCCTGGCCATACTTGGCAGAGGTGTTTTAGAAAGATCCCTGGCAGCTATGAGAAGAATTGATTTCTAGAAAAGCAAGACAAGATAAGGAAACACAGAAGAGGATTTGAGGGACTATAACCTGTTTTTATTGTGTCGAATCTGCAGTGGACAATTCAAGGTAAGATGCTCAGCAGGCAGTTGTATACATGGGTGTAGGGCCGACAAAAGATGAGGGGAATAGGGATGAGTGACATCAGATTATTAGGTAATTGAAGCTGGTAATTGAAGCTGTGAGAGTTGATAAGAGCACCCAGCAAAATGGAGAGTGCGTAAAGCAAATGTGAGAGAACGGAACCTTGAGGAATAGCAACGTTAAAGAGGCAAGGGGAGGAAGAGAAAAATCAGAAGGAAACCGGAAGTAGCTCGTAATGCCTTGCCTATGTCTTGTGACACGCAGCATTTGCACCTGGATTCTCTGCATTAAAGTCTTTCTCCCCACCGAAGGAGCAAGCTTTCCAGCAATTAAGGGAGGCTGGAATTTCCAAGGCATTAACACTCCAGGAAGAGTCCTTGACTAGTGATGTGGCGGCCCACTCAGACCCCCAGAGTTGGTATGAAGATTATTTTAAACTAAAGACATTTGAGATTCAACAGATGTAGGAAGAAGCCCGCTTGGAGCTTCCCTTATCTCATGAAAAGCAGAAAGTTCTGGAACTGCGGCTGCCATAGATCCTCTCTCTGGAGAAGTTTTATGGTCACGAAGAAAATAATAAAATGGAGATCACTGGCACCTGCATAAATGAACATTATCACAAACTTACATATCTCGTTTGTTCCTCCCGAAACCCATTTGTTCTTCCCACAGAAGCCTTTTCTTCCCCTTCCTCTCCCCTATTAATTTAAGTATGTAAACCCCCATCTTTAACCAATTAGGGAGTCACTTCATTTCCAGATGCATATGATGAATTTAGAGGTTTCTTTCTCCTGTTAATCTGTCTGTTGTCAGTTAAATTTGCACTGGGAAGTTTTTCCTCCCAGATAGTGGATAAATATCCCAGGGCATTATTTCTCAGGTGGAACAACTTCAAGGTTGTTCCATAGTCTCCCAGAGGCCCTTCAGTGGCATCGAGCCCCAGTTGCCCACAGCTAAAACCCGCTCATTAACATGCCCTCTATTGCCTTCCTCTCCCTTTCTTACCTCCCCACTTCTCCACCAGTGTTTCTTGGGATCACCTCCCAGATAAGCTGCTTGCATTCAATCCTTTTCTGTTTGCTTCTGAGGGAAGCCAGCCTAAGACATAAACCGATAAAGAGAGGGTAGAGGAAAATGAGAGTCATTTGTGGACACACAGAGGAGAAAGTTTCAAGAAGAAGATGGTCAGCATTATAAAATGCTGCAGGAAGTTGCCCTGCAAGGGTGTTGATGAACTAGGCAAGTTTATTTCGGAGGTATAATGAGAAAAGGCAGATTTCTGTAGGCTAAGAGAAAAAAAGAACGGGGAAGTCCAGCTTTTAAAAATAAGTTATTTGAAAAGGTAAGGTAATGATAAAATGATGATTAGAGGAAGACATAAGATTGAGAGTGGTGTTTTATTATAGGAGAGACAAGCACAGTTATATGCCAAGTGAACAGAGCCAGTAAGAGGGGAAAGTTGAAAATTTGGCTGAGAAGAATGATAATTCAGTGGGTGATTTTCTTAAGGCAGTGGGAGAGACAGGACACTGGAAGAATAAACCTCAGACAGGAGAAATACCTCTTCCATTTAGACAAGAGAAAAAGAAGCAAGGATGAGTACATAAGAAGACAAGTTTGTAGGCTTAAGATGAAGTAGAAAAGATGCAATAGCCATTTGTGTTGTTAATGGAGAATGGGTGGGGAATCACGTGAGGAGGCTGGTGGAGGTTTAACACAGCTGTCCCGTGCAAATGGGGGAATGTGGACAGAGAGGACAGGTGGGCGGGCAGAGGGCTTTGCCAAATTTGAATACCAGGCATGCCTAGTGGTATTAATCCAAACTGCTCTGCTAATTCTAAAAGTACTCAATGTTAAAAAATAAATTAACAAAAATGAAAGTACTCGTTTATAGAAACAGAATTTAATGAATCCTCTGCTAGGTTTGCCAAACGGATGGGATGTAAGGTCAAAGGTTCTGGGTGATGGAAAGTATTGACTGAAAGAGCAGTCAGGTGCTGAACGGGCTCGGGGGTCGGTAAGGAAGGAAGTGGAGGTCAGAAGGGGCTGCATGTGTGTAGAGAAAGCGGGTGTAGGAAATGTGAGTGCAAGAGAGCTAAAGGGCTCAGCAGAGGAAGGATATATATTAGTTTACAATTTCAGAAAGAACAGTTCTACAGCAATTCTCACAGCAGTAGGGCAATGGATGTGGATGCCTGGAAGCGAAGATGTTAAAAACAAAGAGGTTACAGAGACCTTAGGCCAGGAGTGTTCGGTGGGCTGTCCACAGTGAATGTTTGAAGGAAGATGGCGGACTTGAGTGGGGAGGTAGAACTGCAGGCTACAAGTCTCCGAGAGGTGTGGGGGTGGGATCAGGAGTATGTGCAGGAGTTAATGGGGGAAGGAGGGAAGTCAGAGGGAAGGAGTGGGGACCGCTCCCTTAGAGAGGAAGCCTATCAGTGTAGTTAATACGTAGGTTCTGGAGCTAGACTCCAGGGGTTCGGAATGCTAGTTCTGTTACTCATTAGCCACGAAACTTTGGGTAAGTTATTTGACCCCTCAGCAGAGGTACAGAT